GAAATACAAAAAATGTCTAAATTAAAACCAACACTATCTATCATAATATTGATATAAGTAATTATATTAGTCCCCGGCAACGGCGCCAAAAACTTGTTCGTCTATATTTTTTAAGCTCGACCGCAAGTGTACGGCTTCGCTCGTAGTATGTGGCAAGCAAGGTTGTATCCCAAGAGACCAAACAACCAATTAATCAAGTACTAGATAATGAAAGTGCCAATTTTATTTAGACGACCGAATATGAGATTGATTAACTAAACTAAGCAAATAAATTAAAAGATAAGAAATCAATAACAAGAAAACAACTAGAAAACACTTAAGAAGAATTATATGGGAATGGTAGATTCTAAGACTATGGGTTCAATTAACAGTTGGGTTCCTTCAGATATATCACAATTAACTCATTTCTTTATCTACCCTATAAGATGATCACCAAATTAGCCTATCGTCCCTCTCGAGATCGATAAAACCATAGACTAAATCACATATATTAGCGTCTCCACTCAACACATGCAATTCAACTCCAAAAGACCCAAAATCCTGACAATTACCTACTAATCTCTCGATTCAAGCAAGTAAATTATGTCAAGTATTAAAGACCTAATATTGGACTCATCTCTCGAATTATGAACAATATTGTCAAACATGTAAAAGAATTGATCAAGATCTAAACATGGAATAAGAACAAAATACTTGAATAGGGTTCAAAAGAAAAACAATCAATTATAAATAAATCATCCAAAATCCCAACATATTAATCTACTACCAAGTCTTAGAATCAATAAATCTAGCTACTCTTGTTCGAATTCAAACACATAGACATATTCAAAATCGACATGATCAATAAAAGTTCAAAAGGAAAGAAGAAATAAAAACTAGGAACCTCGTCGATCTTTCAGTCTTCTTGATTCCTTCGTAGTTGATCCTCCTTTTTGCTTCCCAATTGCTTCTCTTGTGTGTTCTAGGGCTCTCCTTGCGTATTCACGTTCTCCCCTTCAAAATAAGATCAATATGCCTTTTTATATGTCCAAAACCCTTCTCCTTATCCAAAAAGGCAAGCTTTAAAAATCTGTCTGCGCGCGCGACACGGCCACTCTGCCCGTGTCATCGTCCGTGTCGCAGCCCGTGTCAGCTCCAAGGCTTCTAAATCCCCCAGATAGGTGACACGGCCACCTGACACGGGCATGATGCCCGTGTCACTTCCCGTGTCACAAATCTGCACTATACTTTTTGCATGTTTCACTCGTTTCTTCCATTTTTTTCATTCGTGTATCAATCTTTCATCATTCCGGGGTTCTTAGGTACCCACCATGCGCCTCCAATAGCCAAAAGCTCTACAAATATGTGGAAAATATCTACAAAACAAGCACGTGTAATACCTTTCCAACAAGATATAAAATTAAAGCACAATAATGCAATTTATACACCAATAATGCAATGAATTAGCTCTAGATACTATATGAATATGGTGTAAAATCACACATGAACAATAAGTCATTGGGCCCATCTGTGGGCTAAACCCACTTGGTTCAATAACTTAAACAATGTTTTCGGTCCACTAACGAAACACTACTGCATTCTCTTATTATCCCCAAGTTATATTCGAGACTCCAATAATAATTACTCGAATTACATCCTCATGTTTAAGATATAATGTCCATCATTTTGATTACTGACAATTAAGAATTGACATCTCGAACTGAACTAGCACCACTCAAATCTTTATTATTATGTTGGAACTTAATCCACCTGTAGGTTTTAACATAATAATCTTTCATGAGCTCACTTCAGGGAATTCATCAAACTAATGCACATGGTTACCGTAAATATTCTAACAACACATCATACATGCAACACTATTACCCAAAACACGAAGACTATTGACCCAACAGAATGGATCTCACTTTTGGTGAATCAAAGTAATAGCTACTAAACGCACATGTCTGTTTATATCTTACGGCTTAAGAGAACGCAGTATTAATCAAAACCTAGTTCGGTTGCGACGATTACTATAAAACAAACTGCTCCTCTCTGACTCATATTCAATATATATATATATATATATATATATATATATATATATGTACTAGTGCAACTAATCAGTCAGATCAACTGTAAGGTTGACACTACAACTGTTCTGATGGTTTGTTCGTTTCCATCTAGATTGTGAAGCAGTCATTCTTATTTCGCAAGTAACTGATAAAATGATCTTCTGTTCACCCGCGATGAACCATTTTATCAAAGTGGAAAATAACAAAACATAGAATTTGTTTAATCAAACATGATTTCCATTCAACAGAAATAGTGTAAATAATGTCCATAGCCAAGGTTTCAGTAAATGCACTAACACTACGCGAATGTGTGTTGTTGCTCCGCATCACATGGGCTCGCATGCAGGCGTCGCCGAGCATGCTGCGCTGCTGGGCGTGCTTGTTGCGTGCATTGAACAATGTCTGTGAGAAGATCGCTCATCGCGCGACGCACCCAACACGCCCGTGTGTCTATGTGCTACGCCTGCGCAAGGTTGCTGCTAGTGCCCGTCCGCGGCTGCGCCAACACCTCCACGCGGCTAGGCCTTAGCTCCTGCGTGCAGCTGGGGCCAGCTTGTGGTAGAATGCGCTAGACCAACAGATGTTGCCCTCGCCTACACGTGACTACACCCAACTAGCCTCGACCGTCTATCCGTTTCGGTGGTTTACTCCCAGAAATTGTATTGGTTGTCGCCGATGGTCGGGGCTGATGGCCGGTGACTACAAGAGTTCATCATAGGACAAATTTGTCGTGCGTTATGGCCTCGTTTTACCTCAAATCTTCTGCTATATTACCTCACATCTACTAGTTCGTCTTTGTGAGTGACAAAGACAAAGTTTTCTCGTTTGGGTTTTTATTCTCTCACAAAATAATCAAATTCGTGTTAATAAATATTTTCTGTGAAGAAAATCGATTGAGGCGTGTAATCTTATGTGGAAGTGGTGGTTGATTATCCAAGGGAACTGTATGTATTTATAGGTTACAACAGGGACCTAATGAGGTGCTAAATATGAAAGTGGCTCAATTTCTTGCTATTATGTCAGAAGTACAGGGTTTGACATAAAAATTTTCAATGAGCTCACTTCGGGGACATCATCAAACTTGCACACAGTGATAGTAAATAATCAACAACGCATCATGTAAACAACATGACCAGCCAACTCATCTAGACTATTGATCTAGCACAATGTACCTCACTTTATAGTGAATCAAAGTAGTAGCTATTGAGTGCATGTGTATGTTATTATCTTACAGATTAAGTGTACGCAGTAATAACTGAGACCTAGTTCGTTTACATGGTCGGTAGAAAATAAATTTCTCCTCTATATAATCCGTTCATTGCATTCGAGATGTACTAGTGTAATTCTTCAATCAAGACCAGCCTATCCAAATTACTACATAGCTGTTAGCGATGGTTTGTTTAATTCTATCTATGTTGTGAACCAAACTTTATATTTTACAAGTAACCGATAGTTTCTTTTATCCATATGTGATGAACCATATCTATCAAAATGTAAAGCATCAGAACATAGAATTGTTTAATTAAATATTATTCTCGTTTAGACGGAATAGTGTTAACAAAAACCGAGCTTTAAGTATACACGAGCACCTTGAGGAGCTCGACCTTGAAGTTTACTGACCAGGTCGTACCCTAAGCTACCTAAGAAAGCTTCCTAATGAGGATCATTGGTCGGTGAATGCTAATGCTCCCATTGTTTTTTCTCCTTTTTTTTTTTAAGAGGATGGGTAGTGGTTCCCCACTTACCTTCTTGTAGGCATCGAAATTTTAAAATTTTATTATTTAGTTTCTTTACTAGTACAACACCCGTGTAATACACGGGTGCTTGCTAAATTTTGTTCTTAAAATATAAAATTAATGAAAAAAAAAGTAGTAGAAAATTTAAGTACTTTTTATAACAGAATATATATTATTATATATTTTAGTGTGACTCTTGTTACTTGTGCGAATGTGTTATATTATAATAATTTTTTTAACTTATAACATTTTACTACATTAAACATAAATATATTAATTGAGAAATAATTTTATTTTTCTAATTAAATTTAATAAATATGTTTTTATTATTATAAAAATAAATATAATTTATTTATTTTATATATATAATATGGATGTCAAATCGAAGATCATCAAAAGGTGATTCATTTGATATATTATATATGTAAAACCGATAAGAAATACAAAAATAATCAACTTTTAAAATACACGTACAATTCAATATTTACAATAGAAAAACATATTACAATAAAATTAATACATCTAAAATTATCATAAATAAATCAACATACTTATGGTAATCCAAACCTAATTATTTTTGAATTGGAATTAAATTAAAATCTATCCAAGCTAAATAATTAAGCATGAAATTTTGACACATAGGATCCCGAAGCATGCGAGTCTGTCACTTAGGCTCAGCACATTCGGGAATTATAATATATAAAACATAATTAAAATATAAAAATTTGCAAAAAGAAATAAATTAATTCAAAATTAAATTATTGACAAATCAAATATAAAACATTGTATTATTTGAAATAACTAACTTTATTATTTTTTTATTATTAGTTGTATTTTAAATTTTTTTATCATTCTATTATAATAATATAATTTTGTTCACTTTTTTTTCTTTTGATAAATTTATTTAATTTTCAAGCACCCGTGTTGTTTATGAGCATTATATTAACTGTCGAATAAATTAATTGTTATATTTAATTTTGACAAAATGAATATATATTAAATAAAAAAATTAATTTCATAAAAATATTTTCTTGAATGCAAATAATATTAAAAAAATATTTTTTATTAATTATTTATAGTTTTTTTAATTCCCAATAAGAATTTCAATTCTTTTCACTTTTTGTTGATAATTAGTTTTTAATGAAATACAATTAGTGTTTTATAAAACACTCGTGTAGTACTCGGACATTGTTTAACTACTAATATAATATAATATTACTTGTATTTAAAGATGTACCACTATCTGCTACATAGACTAATAACCAACGAATATTAACAAAAACAGGCGTGCAACCCCTTCATAGAGTTTCCATTATCTTTTTTTTTTTTTACTATTAATTAATCTGAATTTATTTTTAATTATTTTCATTATCTTTTTTTTACTATTAATTAATCTGAATTTATTTTTAATTATTTTATTTACTCTATAAATAAGGGTGTTTGATTGATGAGTTTGAGGGAAAAGAATGGTAATAATATTTGAAGTCGGTGGTTGTTTAGCGCCTAAATAATATTAGTTGTTACCCTAATTAAGTCCATTGTTCAATCCCTCTAATTACTTAAGTAAGGTTGATAATATGTATGGAATGTCCGAACCTAAATTATTAATTTTTAATATATCAATATTATTTGTCCAAACCTAATTACGAAGCATGATTATTTGCCAAGTAGGATTTCGAAGCACCAGAATCAGCCACGTAGGCTCAGCGCATTCGAGAATTATATACAGGGGTGATTTATTTATTTTTAGACATAAATCCAAGATAAATAAGATTTATAATTAAGAAAGTAAATATTTATTGTCCACCAAATCAAACACTATGATAAAGAAAGAGATTATATCAAATTATGAAAGACCAAACCAATTGATGTCTTCTTCTCAAAGACTCTATTTATTACACCTATAAATATGGCTCTCCTCAAAAGCACAAATCACACCTAATAAATCAAAGTCTCAAGTTCAAGAGACCTCAAAAACTGTCTTGAAAATTTTGAAGACGTTCTTGAAGATTCAAGGGCATTCAAGTTGAAGATCGAGGTTTAATCTGCAACAAAACAATCGAATTGTCGAAGTACGTTTAACGAAGAAGAATGTCAAGAAGAAGAGAAAAGAGTGACAATCCTTCTCCAAGAAGTAAACAGACGACATCCGCTCATCTCAAATCAATTCAAGAATATCAATGGCATTCAAGCAACATGCAAGCCGTGTTCATTGATAAGTTCAAGCAACAAAAGCTATCAAGTCATCGACTCGACGTTATGCAAGTTCACATCCAAATTGAAGATCAAATCCAAGTCACAAAGAGAAGAATCGGAGGAGATAAATAGAGGTGTACCCTCAATATCGTTTGATCCAAATAAAATTAAGTTGTAAAAAAGTTTCTTTTTATGTAATATTCATCGTTACACCCCTATATGACTCAAACTCGAGACCTATTGGTTCCAACTGAAGAGTGCTACCAGCTGAGCTACCTCTTCTCGTCTCCCATTTACATGGTTGTGCTGGCGTGAATAACTAGTTCTGAGATTATTTGCAATGAATTGGCTCTCAACACCTCCTATAATCTTTATTGCCAACTCCTAAAACTGAAACCTTTATGAGGAGTAAGATACAACAGGCTCGTGTTGGTATTCAGAACATCCATCAAATATTTTACGTATGTGGCGTTTGCTGTTTAGTTAACCTGCTGCTAGTAATATCAGTATCCTCACAAAACATATTGTGTGTAAGAAAGTGATAATAAATTTTGGTTCTACTAAACATTAGTATGATAAGGTTGTCTTGTACTACGTCAATGTCCCTTGTGATCTGTTGGCTTTAACTCTAGACTAAGTTAGCACTCACCGTATGATTATGAAGGGATTGAGTTTGATGGTGTGAATGAATTATGCTACATTTTGCTTAAAGAATGGAAAAAGGGACATTATTAATGTTCTGTATCTTAGTTCCCAAGCAAAAACTACCTGTGTTTGTGTGGTATGTTGCGCCCATAAATATGTTGAACAAACCACCACCCCATTTTGAGTAGCAGTTAAGAATCATTTACTTATTAGACTTCACTTCAAGTCATAGCTTTTAGTGGAGCTATTTGTTTCACTTTCAAGCACTATTTTAGCCCAAGAAAATCTCTAATTTCTAATAGGGAATTGATAATTTGAAGGCATGTTTCCTTTACTATCAGCCTTCTTTCTCCTTCTCTTTCTCCTTCTCTCAGCTTCAGCTTCTGATTTTGACCCGTTGCAGGACTTTTGCATCCCGAGGCACGAATTCTCGTCCCTTGATTATGTGTCTTGCAAGAACTCATCTCTTGTCACGGTCGATGACTTTGTGTTCTCGGGCATCAAAGTCCCGAAGGACACGGGCAAAACGGGATTCTCGTCCATTCCGGTCTCGGCAAGTGTTTTTCCTGGCCTCAACACATTAGGCATGTCTTTTGTCCGCGCGGATTTCGATTCTGGGGGCATAAACGTCCCGCATTACCATCTGCGGGCAACCGAGCTCGGTTTTGTTCTCGAAGGGAAGATTTATTCCGGGTTTGTCGACTCGCAAAATCGAGTCTTTGCGAAGGTTCTCGAAAAAGGGGACGTGATGGTTTTCCCGAAAGGATTGTTGCATTTTCAGATGAACGTGGGGGAGTCGCGCGCGACGATTTTCGGGAGTTTCAACAGCCAAAACCCGGGCTTGGTGAAGATCCCATCGGCAGTGTTCGGGTCGGAGATTAAGGATGAGATCTTGAAGAAGGGGTTTGGGTTGGATTCTAAGGAGTTAGCTAAGTTGAGGAAGAAGTTTGATCCTAGGAGTTGAGGTAGAAGATAATAAGTCTTGTGTTTTTTGTTATTTGATTTGCATAGCTCAATGGGAAGATTTTTTTCTTGATTATGCATTTGGGATGTCATAAGATATTGATTTGTTGACAACTAAAGTTATAAATAGTCTAGCAACCTTATCTTGAAACCATGGTTATTGCACTGTTATCGTGAAGCGAACTTTGCTGCAGACTGTCTGGCAACCTTAGCTCACTAATGTTATCACAACCTTTATTCTTTCCTTCGATTATTTTATTTTTTAACCATAACCATTTATGGACAAAAGTATATTGTACTAAGCATGCATAGTACATTAATAACAATTAGATGAATTGTTTAATTCATTGGATGCTACTGAAACTGTTTCATCTTGAGAAAGGTGTTTCTATAATTATCCATTATGAAAGGAGCTCAAAAGGTGAGAAAAGAAAATGATAGTAAACATCATCGTGCAAGAGTGTAGTCCAAACAAAGTTGGCTGCAATAATGGCACCTACATGTGATATCATCATGTTGTCAAATTAGTTTGATATCTAATGTGACTAAATTATGGCCATACATTTCAACAAGGGTCGTTTCTCTTACAAGATTTAATAAGACAAACATAAGTTAACTTATATTTTATTTGGTTAACTTACAAGATTTACGTATTTAAATAAACTTGGTCTGATGTAACAACTTTTTAAAAAGTTCGAGCTTGTTTTTAAGAGTGAGCACCGGTGCGGTTCGGTCGAAAACCGAACCACACAAAAAAAAAAAAAAAANNNAAAAAAAAAAAAAAAAACTAGACGAAATATTTAGGATTTCTTCACCGAACTGCACCGAGATAGAAGGAATAACCGAAATGAATTCGGTTCGATTCGATTTTTCGATTAATCAAAATTTAAAAAGAATACCACAAATTAATGTTGAGAGTGAAAATTAGGGCGAGAAGAATAGAAATGAAAATTTTCTTTTATGTTTTGAATGTAAATGCTTGTCCAAATTTTTACTCACGAAGTCGCAACATGTATATATAATGTAAGTAAAAGTGTAAAATTAAAGTGACACTTTATGATATTCGGTGCGGTTTGGTTACAACCGCACCCTTCAAACAGAAACCCGAACCGTATCGAAATATTTGTAGTTTTCCAAAACCCAAACCGCACTGGTTATCGAACTTTTCAAAAACCGCATAGAACCTCACCGAATAGCTCGGTTTAATTCGGTTTTTTGGTTTCGGCTCAGATTTGCTCACCCCCACTTGTCTCATGAGTTTTTATAGCTATTCAAATAAGTCAATTGAATATTTTGTTTCAATTGATTTATCAGCTAATTTTACCAAATATATTTATCATATCATCAGCTAGCATTCCATAAGTGTGACATAAGTTATTAGCTATAAGCTCGAATTCACTTATAAACTATCAGTTAACTTATCAGCTTGCTAGCTTATCATCAGAGCCGGCCCAGGCCCAGGGCAGCCTGGGCGACGGCCCAGGGCCCAAATAAACAAAGGGGCACCAACTATACACTTTACTTTGTATATATATCATACATGTATTATTGTTTGGGCCCAACTAGATGTGAATAAAGGCCCATATTCACTACACTTCTATACCTGAAGCCGTGCATAAAGGTACGTGGCTGCCAATTCCAAATGCCAACATCTATGAATTAAAAAAAATGTAAATAAAAATTAAAAGTTCCTAATTAATGAAGACTAGCGAAAAAGATTACTAAGGCCCCTATTTAATGAACAAAATGTTGTTCTTTTGGTTTTTTATTCTTGTATTTTAGTTTGATTTCTAAATTGGCTATTTGATGTAGAGCGTAGTACGAATGGGAATAATATGAGATACTCTCTCAAGAAACGACGAACAGAAATTTCAATTTACAAATAATCTGCTCTCTCTTCTGTTCGATACAGCATAAATAAGAAAAGAAAATAATAATAAGAATCCTACTCTTGCTAAACACTGCAAGTTATTAATTATCCTACCATAATTACTAAAATAAGTAAAGGAAATAAAGCTACAAGATTGCTGAAATAACAGGAAATAAATAGACTAGACCCGAAGACGGTCATATTTATTCAGCGCAATGGCGGTCTCGTCTTCATCATCCTCCCCCGGTTGAGGAGGATTCGCCCTCGAATCCGAACCGGTCTCGTCTTCGTCAGAGTTATCCCCCACAAAAGGCACCAAGTGCTTGACATTGAACACATCCGACGTACGAATATGGGAAGGAAGACGAAGCCGATAAGCATTCGGATTGATCTTCTCAATCACCTCCACTGGGCCAATCTTACGGGCCGACAACTTGTTATACTCATGGGCCGTGAATCTATCCTTCGTCAACACGGCCCAAACAAAATCACCCACCGAGAACTCGACGTGACGACGCCGCACGTCCGCGCGTCGCTTGTAGGAGTCGGTCGTGGCCTCCAGCCGAGCCCGTGCGGCTGCATGAGTCGCCTTCAAATCAGCGATGAACTCGACGGCCCGCCGATCGCCCGCCTCCATGGATGGCAATGACAGTAAGTCCGACGGCCCACGGGGACGCACCGCATAAACCGTCTCGAACGGGGAGAGGCCCGTAGCCCGACTGACAGCCGAATTATGAGCAAATTCAGCCGAACTCAAGCGCTGGTCCCAACTACGAATATTGTCGCCCACGAGGCAACGAAGAAGGTTGCCCAACGAACGATTCACAACCTCCGTCTGGCCGTCAGTCTGGGGATGGTATGCACTGCTGAAATCAAGGCGAGTATTCGCCATGCGCCATAAACTGCGCCAAAAATGGCTGAGGAAACGAGTGTCGCGATCCGACACAATCGAAGTAGGAAGGCCATGAAGACGGTAAACCTCCCGAAAGAACAGCTGGGCCACATGAACCGCATCTGTGGTGCGCTTACACGGAATAAAGTGCACCATCTTCGAAAATCTGTCAACGACCACAAAAATGGAATCAAAACCCCTCTGAGTGCGCGGTAACCCCAACACGAAATCCATGCTCACCGCACTCCAAGGCTGCGACGGAATAGGCAGGGGTCGATAAAGTCCAGCGTTCGATGCAACTCCTTTCGAGACGTGACAGACACGGCACCGTTCCACGAAACGTCCCACATCCCGGCGAAGCGAAGGCCAGAAGTAGGACCGCCCGACAAGGTCTACTGAACGATCTCGCCCAACATGCCCGGCGCCATGCAAATCCGCGATGAGCTTGGCCCGAAGACTACAATCCGGAATGCACAGTCGAACGCCTCGAAACAAAAAATAAATATGACCGTCTTCGGGTCTAGTCATTGCGTATCTGAATAAATATGACCGTCTTCGGGTCTAGTCTATTTATTTCCTGTTATTTCAGCAATCTTTTAGCTTTATTTCCTTTACTTATTTTAGTAATTATGGTAGGATAATTAATAACTTGCAGTGTTTAGCAAGAGTAGGATTCTTATTATTATTTTCTTTTCTTATTTATGCTGTATCGAACAGAAGAGAGAGCAGATTATTTGTGAATTGAAATTTCTGTTCGTCGTTTCTTGAGAGAGTATCTCATATTATTCCCATTCGTAGTACGCTCTACATCAGTTGGTATCAGAGCCAGCCCATGTGCCAGCGGTGACCGCTGGGCACACAAGGGGGGGTGGATGATGCAGCGCATCCCACATCGGGTTTGAAAGGAAACGAAGCAGGCCTTATATGAGGATGTGGATACCTTCACTAGTAAGACGCGTTTTGGTGGGTGTGTATTGAAGCCCAGCCAAGAACAAAGCCGTGCGGGTGCGGAAGTAGCCCAAAGCGGACAATATCTTACTAGGGTCTGCACCACTATTTATATCAATTGTTTGTTTATCTGAGTTAATTTATCTCTTTACTTGTTTAGAATTTAACTTTTTTTTTTGTTTAATTCAACATTTGAATTAACTAAAAATTTATTTTTTTACTTGATTTAAATTTTTGCTCTGTTTGGAAGTATTCAACTTCATCTATATTAGTAATTAGCTTGGATTAGTGAATTTCTAAATTTAAATTTTGCTTGCTCTTTGGTATTTATATTTATTGTGTGGGATAAGTTAAGTTGTAAGTTGTTATAATTGTTAAGTGTTAACTTGTTGTTATTTGAAACCGATAGTGGATTTTTAAATTTATTATTTGAAACTTAACATTCTTTGTAATAACTGTTTGGGATTTATATTTATTTTTATATTAGATTTTACTTGTTTTTAACTTCATCGAGAGGTTGTAACATTTTATTTATTGAAATTTTATTTTTTTTTTAGAAAAAGAATGTTGGAATATTAGTTTTGCCAAGACATTATCTTTTGTACGGGTGATTCTTTTGTTAGATTTTACTTGTTTTTAGCTTTGTTGAGATGTTGCAATATTTAAAAATTTGTAATTTTATTTTTTTTTTTATTTTTATAAAAAGAATGTTGAATTGTTGTTGGTATTATTTAAAATGTATTATTTTATTTCTTAAAAAAATCAAAGTAGTTGGGGCATTATTTTTATGTTTGGCCCAGGGCCTAATAATTTATAGGACCGGCTCTGCTTATCATTCAGGTCTACGAAACACGTATTGGCAAATGAAAGCTACAATTTCAAGTGAAGGAGATATGCAAAACGAGCACAAGTTTTTACTGGGAGACAGTCTAACTGTTAGGTGGATCGACCCGTCATATTTTTTTTTTTTTCATTGCATACTTATGCCATATAATTACGTTCTTTTATTTATTTATTTATTTTTTTATAGTATGACATTTAAATTATAGATGAAACTTAAACAAATGAAAGAAGGCATAGAAAATTTAGAATTAGCAATTTGGAACACCAAACTCAAACTGAAGCATCAACTATTACCTTTTTTTCCTAGACCATCACAAAATTCATGTCAACCACATCACACACTTGAACTTCAGAGACACATATCTTAACCTTCAAATACAACTGCACTTGAAAAAAATAAAATAAAAATCAAACACATATATGATCTCCTTAGATTAGCATTGCATTCAATAGCTCATTCCATGTGTCGGGCACACCGGGCAAACACCAATGACTACAGTCACATTTATTATCTTTCGATTGCTGCTGCTTTTCCTTTTCGTGATAAACCGAAGGATGGCCGTCCCTTCTAAGAGCCGTCAATGAAGTTATGTTCTGAATTTCGACCGGAAATTTCATTCTCCTCACAACTTTCTGCAACACCACCAACTGCTCGGGCACGTGTGGTCGGCTCAAATATTCCAGAGGTTCTTTCTGATTATGACAACTCCACCCATTTTCCCTGCAGAGACACATATTTGTAAGATTTAGAGAATCGGGAGAAGAGGGTGCGATCCCACGCAGGTGAGGCGCACCGTAGTGAAGTTCCATCACCTGTTATGTCTAGGTGACATGCTTCTGAAAAAGACTTTGGTTCTACTTGGATCAAGATTCAAATCTATCCAATGAGCCCATGTTGTGAGTCCTGTCCAGTAAGCAATTATTGGGTTTATGTGTTTGTACACATTATTGCCCTCCATCACTAAATCCCATCTGCAGGAAGTTAAATATATAGTGACTAGTGAAATTAAGCAAAATGCAGAAGAACACATATATATTAGTTAATTAATTAATTATGTCCTAAAAGAATCGCTCATACGAGCGCCATTTTTGGGAATGAGTCCACCAATGAGCTGAATCGAAAACGAGCACGTCCACCCCTCTCCAGTGTTTGGCGTTATCCTCGATCGAATCCAAGTGCAAAATTCTCTTCCCATCTTGCCCTTTCCTCAACTCCACTAGCAAAGGAGCCCAACAGAACTCAATTGACATCTCATAGTCCTGCAAAAAAAGTGATATACCAACTACTCAAAATATAACAAGATAGGCCATTAGTTTGACAGTTGTGGAAAATCACTTCTTCTACACTCACTAAAGCAAGAAAGGCCATTGTTGGACCATTGTAAATAACCATCTTCCTTGCCGTTGGCACTACGGATTGAACTAAGCAAACGAGGGACTCCCATTGGTTCCTAATTATAGAATCACCAACAAGCATTATCCTTTTTCTTCTCATCTTTTCAAGAAAATCCAGTGCGCTAAACCTGTAGTAAAGTAATCACTTGTAGTTAAAAAAACAAATGAAAAATAAAAAGGTTAGCTAGCCTTTTTTCACCGAAACCATAGGCTTCCAATAGAAGAAAAACACATGATTACAAATTATAGAACAACTAAACAGCCAAAAAAGTCAGCTACTCAACTAAATCTAGTTGGGAGGACAAACTCCATAGGCAGATAGCCCAAGGCAGCCCAGAACCAACCTAAACACAGCGCACTAGCGCTAAAAACAACAACGAAAAGTTAGCCAGCTGACTTAAGAAAATTAAGGACATTATTATTTGTTAGTACCTTGGGATTGAGCAACCATTAGGCTTCCATCTCCACTTTTCGTAATCGGAATCTGGCCTCCCGTTTTCCCGACAAGTAACGGCCGAACTGAGGTACGGACAAGTGGCGGCATCATAGAGGGGGTAACTTTGATCATAAACCCATTTTCCTTTAGTGTAATCGCAAGTCTCACGAGAAGACCGTGTCCTTTTGGCCATGCTAATTTCATCATCGTCTAGCCACCCGAGCTCATCCTCAACGTATTCGAAAGATTTAGTAGATGAGGTACAGCAGCAGAGGAAGAGGAAAAGAACAAAGAAGAGGAAGAGAGACAAGTGTTTGCTTTGCGCCATTTTTGCAGTTCAAAAGTGGAATACCTTGTTTGGAGGAATATATAATATAATGGCTGTCTGCAAACTTTGGTGCGTAATTATAAGCAGGCATGTGTTAGAAAAGTGAGTTTTGGTACTTTAATTAAGGCGTGAGTGGCGGTATATAGGTTATGCATGGGACCTTGCCTTAATTTGAGTTGAATGTGATAGGTAAATTTTTACTTACTAATGGTCACTACAATAAATTTTAGTATATTTTAGAAACTTTTAGTACGCAATCCGTGCGATGCACACTGCAATAATAACACAATAATAACAGATCAAATAATAATATAATATTAATAAGTATAAAAATAGTTCTGAATATCGATATGAATTTTCATATTTTCTTTTATTCTTGTGATATATAATTGTTTAATTTATCGAACCTGTTGTTGGTTGAAAATAAAAAATAATTACAAACCGTAACGTAAGTAACGCGGTGCTCCATATAAGGAAAATGAAAGCAGAATTAGTGTAATGAAACCCGCAACGTTGATAAAAATTGCATAAGCAGCCTGAATCAAACTTTTGTTCACGAACTTTCGGCTAAGCCTTGTGTAGCAAATCAAACCCGTTCATAGCGAGAGAATACAAACATGAAGGGCATATAAAACGCTTTTGCAGCCTGCAATATTTGGTGTGAAAATGAAATGATCCAATCATGGCTTCCTTAGCCAAACCTGGTTACTTCTCCCGGGCCAAACAACATAAAGAATAATATAAAGTTCTTTTCGACGAGCCAAATAACCAAAATTTGTAACAAAGGGAGTGAGCATCTTCATTTGCTCGAACAACAAAATGGCAAAAATTACAGAAAACTCACATTTTGAGATAAGGGGAACCAAGAAATAGGTCAAAGAGATTAAGCAACCCTCACATTTTTTATGCTTCTTGTACCATTTCTTCACTTCTCCAATAAATGTCGAATCTCATTGAAAAATCCATGTAACTCAAACTCTGGCAGTGCACAAGTTCTTCCAACAACTTTCTCTGTCGTATAACACCAAAAATTTTCGCCCCAAGCCAGTGGATGAAATAACATAATAGAAGCTCTTTAATTTAACGAGGCTCGTGAGTTTTGTACCTTGATGTCAGATATTATTTTCTATCCAATCTTTTCCTCTTCCTTGTTTCGGCAGAGATTGAAATCCCAGATCCTGACGCAGCAAAATGTCTAAGTTTTTCAATTATCCTTCTCTCGCTAACACGCAGTATTAAAGAATGAAACGATTTAGGGTCAGTTGCTTGACAACACTCATTAAGTGATTTTATGTCTTCTTCCAGGGATGTTGGGCCATATAACTTTTCCCGAGCATCTGCTAGTAAAGAAAGAGCTCGGCAAACATCTTGAGTAAGTAAAAATTTCTTATTAGCTTCTAAAACTTTGGTCGACAGAAAATTCTCCTTTGTCAACAAGGGGAAGCATGCATCTTTTCTAACCTTGCCCACGGCAGATAATGCAAGATCAAGTTCAAGGAAATCCTCCTCAGTTAACAACATGATATAAAGTAAAATTAATAACTCCACCTGAGGTTCCCCGTCAATTGATATCTCGAAATACTCGGAATCTTGACTGACACATCCGCAATAATCCAACTTTTTCCAGAATGATAACCTTCTCCGACTCTGACGGCATGAAAACAAAGATAAACTCCACTGAACAACTATATCTAAATCTATATTCACAATGTCAAATGGATTATCTGGTTCTGTAAAGCCATATCTATGCAGAAGGGCAGCATTCCCCAAATGCCCATATGTGTTGAACACCTGAAATAATGTTAACAGAGTAAAAGATTATTCAGAACCAACTAACATAGCTATATCAAATATTTAACCATGCAGTAAAATAAGTTTTGTGCATACGAATGGAAATAGCCTTTATTTCCATCCAAAAGTAAAAAAGAAAAGAAAATTACAATGAGCAAACAAAAATCGCAGGGAAAGTCTTCACCTCAGCTCCAGCTTTGACATCTTTAATGATAATCATTTCCATATATGTAGATTCATCTCCAGCTACAGAAGAGAGTTCCAGGTCACTCTGGCTTAAATCTTCTATTTCGGCATGAAAATCAGGAGCAGTTGGCTCATCATCACTGTCATTTCCATCATATGCATTTTCGTTTCTGCTTTCAATGTCTTTATCAGATTCAGAAATAGAATCAAGAGACGTGAAATGAACATCCTCAGCAGCCGTCTTGTGATTAAAACTGACAATACAAAAGACTTGATCACTAAAAATCTAACCAAACCTGAGAAATAACAACCAAAAGAACAGAACAAACTCTTTGAATCTGGACCATCCAAGCCAATTCTACCAGAAAGTGACAACTCAAGCAGTTAGATATACAATATATTATCGTGATGAAAAAAGGAGTCGGGAACAAAAAATGCAGAAACAATGCGGTTCAGAATTTGGCATTTTTGGTGTCAAACTAGTTGAGAGCATGTTTTTCTGAAGATAGTCTTAATAAGATGTCCTGGTGTATATTGCATCAAAATGAACATGATGAGGGCGGGTGGGGTGTTAGAGGGGATGTTTCGTGGGAAAACCACCAGAAGCAATTTGGTGGCGAATTGTGATTTTTGTAAAAAAAACTGTACCAAAGGAATGGTGCATTGGCTGGAGTGGTAGTGGTTTGCTCATTTAAAAGGTAGCAACCAAAGATGGTGATACAGAGACATTATGATACAGTTAGTTGAGTTAACTTCTTCGTTTCAAGCAATACAACAACAACAACAACATACCCTTTTTGTCCCAAGCAAGTTGGGGTAGGCTAGAGATGAAACCCAAGAGAACCTCTTCGTTTTAAGCAATAATAATAATAATAAAACAAAAGAAAGGTCATTTAAAAAATAATCGATATCCAGCTGCCTTATAAAGTCTAACTCCTTAATTAAACCACAAGATGACATTTCGAACATAGTAGATAGTACAATCAACGCAAAGGAAAGTACACGTCTAAACAAGTTCCTAACATCCAGACGAATAAAGCAGTTGTTTCTGTCTAATGTGCAAGTACACTAAAGAACTTAAATGATGTGTCACTTTGCTTACTAAATGAAACCAGATAGCTTTTAGCGATCTAGTAACCAGTATGTCGTGTCCTGAGCCATCGTTCATTGAATAATAGTGGCTCCATTGGTGAATTGCATTTTATAGTTATAACACAGAAGCCATCAGTAGGAGTTCAGGTAAACTTACAGGTCAGCCAAAGGGACCATGCCAAAACCATGGAATTCGTCTATTTGAAATGATCGCGATGCAACTAGACTCTTTGCAGCCAAATATTCATCTAATGTGAAAAAATCTGGATTTAGCTCAAAAGATGTCGTATCCAGAATGGGTTGGATACACTCCTTCCAGTCTTGATAGACCAAAGCCTTGTCTTCTTTAACTGTCTGCCTACAATTAATGTCACATAACTATACATAAACCTTATTAAAGCATAACTATAACAAACACAAAGAGGACCAATAATAAAAACGAGCAGCTGCATAAACCTTATCCAAGCTTCACTCCATAATTGGCTCTGAGTGCAATTATCATAGATTTTAGCAATGATTTCCATAGTCTCGCATCTGCTAACTGGTTCAAACAACTTATCATGTCTAAAATCTATGATGATTGCACTCTGAGCTAATTCTAGATCGAAGCTTGGATTTATGGATGGTAAGATCCGGAGCAAACTGAAATTGAAACTGGTGAAAATTTATGATACCTGGAAGAAGGCCAATTATATGATCACTTCATGGAACCCAATACTCTGTTTACGGAAAATGTTGAGAGCTTTGTGCATGCAAATAATGATAAAAAGCTTCGGGATAATATTCCTCAAAAATATGGTCAATGCAATGGATCGTTAAGGGGTGTAAAAAATCAAATGAAACTAATGCTATTTCTGGTAAGATTATATAATGTATATGAACATGTGAGGTCTCAAATTCTCCTGATGGAACCATTGCCAGAGGTTGATAAAGCTTATTCTATGCTTATTAGAATTGAGCAGCAGAAAACAACCAATATTGCCAACAATGGACAATTTGAAACCTATGCGATAGTGAGAAACAATTTTGTAAGAGAAATACTTGCAGAGGAAGTAATCAATTCGGGGGCAGAGAATTGTGAAGAGGCAGGCGTAGATGTGGTTATAGGAGAACGAAGGAAGAAAATGCTATTTTAAGTTGTGAGAATTGTACTGCACTACTGCTTCTGGACATGAAAAGGCAGACGGTTTCAAATTGTGTGGAGTACCAGACTGGTATCACAAACTCAAGGAACAACAAAAACTATGAGTGTATGCTAATGTGACTATGGAATGAGCTAAGACCAATTCGCTAAAGCACGATATTGGCTCACAGAAATCAGCAGGTGCAATTGCTATTTCATTAATCATACAACAGGACCTAGCTAAGGAAGTTCTTAGGTTCAAAAGGAACACCTTAAGGAAATAGTGAAGAAGCTCTTAAAGATTTAGGTCCACTTTGTGAACTCGGCAGGTACTAACTTATCTAACTGCTTTCATTATGCCTCGAGTATAGTGGATCGCATTAGTATTACATTTTTTGGCTTTGGACACTTGTGTCAGTAAACATATGTTCATTGATAAAACCCTCATGCACGATCTTAAACTCATTGTCCCGTAATTCATGTGCATCTACCTGATTGTACCTCAGTTAAAGTCACACATTGTGGGACTGTACAAATTTGTCTTCAAACCACACTATGGCATCACATAATCCAACAGTCACACCAAAAGCCTTGTCTTCTTTAACTGTCTGCCTACATATAATCTATTTTGGGATTAAATAAGTGTAATTGATACATTGGGCCATTATATTGTTTAGCAGTCAAATTAAGTGATCAAATTATTGTACATTGGCTAAGGAACTTAATTTAGATTGTGGAACGATTAAATGTGGACACCCGGTAATATCATTATTTGGTGAACTTAAGGACCTAATTATCAAATAATTTGGGTCAAAATTATTAATGGGTGGAGTCCCCAAAAGCCGTGATAAATAAGGGACCCTTGGGATTCTTTATTAGGAAATAAAAGAAACCATAAGGCCCCGTTACGCTCTTCATCAGTTCAGTTTCTTAAGAAGAATAGATGATACGGTTCACGGCCTTTTGGAAGTTCTCCAAAATCTCAAATCCAATCTTGAGTTCTAAAGCAATCAATCAACATGAATTCAGCATGTACGCTCGATTGTTCAATATGAATGCTCGTGGGATTAAGCAATTTCAATTGCATTACGGTGTGAGCCTCTGTGGTTTATAAGTTATTTAAACAGCTAAATTGAAGTGAAGAGGTCAGCTAAGCTTAGAACATGTTGAGTCCTGCATCATCAGTGCCTAACAACTCAACGAACAAAGGCAGATACACACAATGTGCACAACACATTCAATTAGGTGAAGCAAAGAATAGTGAAAGAGACTTGACCTTGTGTAGCTCGGTGCCCGAGAGAAGAGAGTCGATTTCGGGGAGCGACCACAGCAAGGGGATGGGCTCGAAGGGAGGCAGAATCTGCAAGTATTCAAACCACTTCGATTGCGGTCCAAGGCTCTTCTCGTACATGATTGCAACGGCTAGGCCCAAATATCCACCGAGCTCAGCCTCATCAACTAGGTGGTTGGCGGCGGAGGTCCTGACGGTGAGGCAACTCTGTTTCGGAATCGTGGCAACGACGTCGCCTTCATTGAGATCGGAAAGAGCCTTCACGGAGGTAGACGGTGGACGGGAGGCGTCGCTATTTTCCGTCGAGATGAGGAGAGCATCGCTGCAGTCTACGCCTTGATGTTTCATCCACCGTATGAACGCTCTCATTCTTCTGTCGCTACATAAAAGTGGAAGTTACTGTTAGTATGTGTCATTCGCAGTTGAAAGTGAGAGGCGGACGAGTGGCGATAGAGGCGGACGAGCACTACCTGGCGGCGGCCATTGTGGTACGTTTACCAGTGTGACGGCGAGATGCTAAATGCAAAGGAAATAACAAGAAAGTTGACCCGGGAAGAAGAAGGCCCATTGGGCTTTCCTGATTTGGTAGCCAATTGATCATTCACAAAGTTCTGTTTGTTTACACATTTAATATATAAATATAAATATTTGCAAAATTGCAAAATTGCATAAAGTATATAAATATATATCCTCCACTTTATTATTTTATTTTATTTGCAAAAATACATCTAAGATATAAATATTTGCAAAATTGCATAAAGTGTTATTTTTATTTGCAAATATGCTAGAATCTTAAATTTGGGTTGGTTAGCTAAGGGCGGATATTATGGAACATTACTCAACCATTTTCCGTAACTAATCACATATCTTTATGGTAAATTAGACAAAATTTATTTCCTATTAATGGAGAATTTATTCTTCTATTCATCTCTCTCTCTCTTTCTCCTTCTTCTTCGCATTCTTCTTTCTTCTTCCCTGATAGTCCTCTCAACCCTTATACAAGATTTTTTTTAATTCCCCTAACAAATAATGTGATTATTAGGAAGGCGTCACCGGAAGTGTTAGGAGATGCGGTGGCTTCTTTTTCGATCCCTGCGTTTGTGTTTTTGAAGAGGCAACGATGGACTCCAACGGCAGCGCGCCCATCCCCTCCGCCTTCACAGCGGAGAGGTCAAGTTGGAGATGACGAAGTCGAGGTGGAAGCTCGGGGCTCCTGCGATGTTGACAGTATATGTTGCGTTTATATACAGTATATCTGCAGAATATGTTTCAGTCGGCACAATCTTAGTGACGCGAATTCCGCCACCTCCACCACCTTCGCGTTGTTCCGATCCTAGATCGCCGTCAGCTGCGGGGAATTTTTATGTCGCCCTGCGTGACGGCGGCGAAGGCCAAAATTGCAAGGACATCGAGTGCAAGAGAGCGTGGTATGGTATCCACGATATTTTTTATTTATTTCTCGTTTCTTTTAGTTTGATCTTTCTGGTGAAAAGTGAGATATTATGTTATGGTGACTGTGAATTCATATTAGTGTTTGTAGGTGCATTATTTATGATTCATTAATTTGGGCAAAAATGATATTATTGGTAATATTTAAAAGGCAAAGCCAAAAGGAGCCGGTATGCAGACAATGGGGGAAATTTCCTTCAGAGTATCAAATTCCCTTCAGAGCCGATATTTTCAATCTTGGTTTGCCCTATTTATTTAATTAACCTCTGTATTTTAAACTAAGTAATTTTTCATAAATATGACATTTGGACTACTGTAAGGTGATACAATTTTTTTATTTTCTGATTTGAAAATCGTTGTTTTTCTTGGTTCACACTTCAATTTCTCCATTGATTGAGTGGATAATTTGAGTCTAAGCTAATATAATTTGTTTGTTTTTTGTTGTTTTGGTATATTACGAGATTATTGCAACATATACTGAATAATACCACTATAAACTCAATATATACTGCTCATTCAAAACATGAAACATTTTACTGACTTTTAAACACAACATATACTTCGTTGTATCTGCAATTTTTACAAAAAAGAAAATATACATATACCGTCAATAAAACACAGTTAAAGAAATCGCAAAGAAAAAGTACGAAACCAGAAAAATATTTTTTATCAATGAAAATGCCATATTATGTCATAGTTTATGCGTGATATATTAAGAGAATTTTTGGTTGAAGATGAAACTAACAAAGGAGCATTTTTTTTTTCGTAAAAAATGCAGCTACAACGAGGTATATTGCGTTTAAAGTCAGTAAAATTTTTCATATTTTGAATGAGTAGTATATATTGAGTTTATAGGTAGTATATATTTACTATATATTGCAATAATCTCCTAATATACCAAAAAAAAAAAGATACATATACCGTCAATAAAACACAATTAAAGAAATGACAAAACAAAGAAAAATTATGAAACCAAATCACGTTTTTATCAATGAAACTCAGAGTGGAAAAAAGAACAAAGACACATGATCACGCGGTAAGGGAACTTCTTTAACATTCTAGTGCTATTATTATGCAAAATTACCATCAAAATTTAGCAGTTAAAAAAATGGTTCCTTTTGGGAAAAAAATGGTTTTTATAAATTTAAAGAAAACTTATATATTTCAGGTAGTTGATGGATATATCTTGATAACTCCAACTAAAAAATAACAGAGTTATATATGTATGTATATATATATATATGTATGTATATGTATGCATATATTTTCTTGGATTACGCAAATCAATTCTAACGCATTTCATTTTCTCTCTCTTAAGAGTTATGATTACCGCAAATTAAGGATATCAATTACCATTTATTTAGGTAATGATAAATAATGGTAAGCTTAATAATGGTACATATATTATAATATTTTCATTCATTTATGGCATAGATGCAAAGAAAATGTGGTGAGTGGTAAATCTGCAATACTTTCATATTATGTGGTGCATGTGTAAATTTCCCTAAAAAGTTTTGCTTTTAGTTGCAACTAGTATCATGCACGTTGAAAGACGGAGTTCCTCTTGTAGGATTTTTCTGTGTCTAGAGATTTTGTTCCTCGTGTAGGATTGGGTGTGTTTCTAGGGTTTCTTCTTCATCCTTTCTCTTTTGATTCTCCTCCCCCGCGTGCTTTTGTGTTGGGTCAGTTTGGTGAAGTCGTGAGTGGTTTTTGACCTTTCTTGCTATTAGGGTTCCTTTTTATTTTCTCATGTTAGTCTTCATTTCATTCATATGGTTTAGTTGTCTCATCTCTGTAAGCCCCTAAGATTTCCTCTCTTTTGCTAATGGAGCATGGTATAACAGAGAAATTGCAAAGGTTTGCGCTGTCAGGAAAAGAAGTTCGGGAAGTTGAATTGTCTGATGAAGATATAGCGTCGGGCCTTAAGAAGAGCCAACTGAATTTGATAGGAGAAATTTTTGGGATAAAAGAGCGAATTTCAGTGGCCTCAAAGCAACCCTAGCCAATATCTGGGTAACTAGACATTAAAAAGTGTCAACTGAGTTTGATAGGAGAAATTTTTGGGGATAAAAGAGTGAATTTCAGTGACCTCAAAGCAACCCTAGCTAATATCTGGGTTACTAGAAAAACTTTCTTAGAAACTTATGGTTAAATTAGTTCCAATTCCTTTTCAAAGATGAGGAAGATCGAGAGAAGATTTTGAATGGTAAGACTTGGACATTTTTTTTTTTTTTT